TTCATTTATAAAATTACGTGATTACCTATAAAAAAAAAAATTATTGTGGAATACCAATGTTCTTTGTATTCTTTGTTTTCAAGTGTCATTTCTCGTCTAACATCCTTTTAAGACATTCCCTAAAAAGAAAAAGGTTCTATTGCAAATTATATTTATATTTCCTCATTCTTACTGTCAATTCAAATAGCTACATGATAGGATATCCCCAGTTTCTGCTGCTCAATTGATGGCTGCTACTGGAAATCTGCAAACCAGCTGCATAGAAGAGATGCTGTTGCTGTGAAACTAGGATTTGATGTGTTAGTATTTGTTGGAGTGAGATGTAGTATGATGGATTGATGCAATTATTTGTAAACAAAGAACATTTTTATTGAAGATTGAATTCATATTTTCACATAATGTAAATGAACAATTTCCAACATTCGAGAGGCTGGATTCTCTCCTAATTGGCTCAACCACTAAATATTTGCATAACCACTCCGCTTCTTCTCCTATTACATTTGTACTACTACTTCCTCCCTTATTCCCCAAACTACCCTTGATAATTGGAATTAGAACACTCTAGAATATGGCATAATAAACGTGAATGAATAACTTGGGGGTCTATCATCACTTGCTTCCCGAAATCCACCTTATCCTCAAGGTGGGAGTGTGGTTCAACTTCAAATTTCGAAATTCCATATAACTGAACCATTTTTGGAGTAAGCTTGTTGTATTTGTTAGTCTGTGTAGCCAATCGTTCGCCAGCCATTAAAATGTTATTCATACAAATTCCATAACCTGTCGCACCCCTTTGCGGGCTTTCCAAAAAATGAACCGAAGTGATAGGAACCTTGTAGCTCGTAGTTTCTGTGGTCTGCTGCCTCAATTGACCAACCGACTTTGCTGAAATGAAGCTAGGTGTAGGTCCACAATTGATCAATACTATTACTGACTGCCCCAAAATCGAGCCCCTAATTTTCATGGTTTTTGTTGTGGTCAATCCTACCTCAGATGTGATAGATAATCCCACAAATTCACCCACCTCGTCTTCTTCTTCCATTATCAGCTGCTCTTAAGAGTTCGTTTCCTTCCTTCTCTTGAACCCCCAGTATCTGCAACTCCTTGTTACGAACTTTATGCCCCGGACCGCACTTCTCATCACAGTGATAACACAAGCCTTTATCTCTTTTCGAATGAAGCTCGACATCTGACAGCTTTTTGAATGGTGGGCTCCCTCTGTTTGCATTCGCTGGTCGGAAAACTGTGATTGTCAACGATCTGGGAGCGCTTGCAGACTGATTGGATAGGTGGAATGGGATAGATTGATTGTCTGGGTTTGTGCTGTAAGTATTGGTTTTATTCTTATATGGGCTGTTAGCTAAGTGGGCCTGCTTCACCAATTCATTCCTGCCTTCCTGCCCTTGGGCTCGCTCTCTAATAAGGCCCAGTCCCTGTGGTTGAACATGGCCCAATCCCTGTGGCAGCAATCTGGTTAATGCCGGCAAAGGGGTTGCGAGAACCTTGAAATTCTGTCGATAATCTCAGATTGTGCCTTCCTGCCTTGGCGCCAAGACTTTTCCCAGACTAGTCCCTACCTGTGATGGCCGAAAGCAATTGAGTAATGAGTTCTTCCAATCTTTCGACACCAAAATCTCCGGTTGGTGACCTCGATTTTCCAGTCGCGCAGTTTCTTCCTTGTGCAGACGTGTCTCTGTACTCCCCCAACCTCTAAGCCTTTGAGTGGGGCGTCAGATTGCAAAGTTGGCTTCGGTGAAGTAGATGAAACTCCTTTCTCCTTCCTCTCTCTCTCCTGCACGTCCCATTTCTTCATCATCAAATCGAACTTCTCCGTCATGATAGACATAGCCTTCTTAATTTCAGATTTCATTGCCCCAAACTCTGATTGCAGTCCATCGATCCTTGTTTCCAAATTATTAACCTGATCTTTTAATTGCTTTTCTTCATCAGATGTAATACCCCAGGGCCATAATGGTTGCTCCGATACCATTTTGATAGAATCCCCAGTTTCTGCTGCTCAATTGATGGCTGCTCCTGGAAATCCGCTAACCAGCTGCATAGAAGAGATGCTGTTGCTGTGAAACTAGGATTTGATGCGTTAGTATTTGTTGGAGTCAGATGTAGTATAGATGGATTGATGCAATTATTTGTAAACAAAGAACAATTGTATTGAAGATTGTATTGATATTTTCACAGAATGTAAACGAACAATTTCCAACATTCAAGAGGCTGGATTCTCTCCTAATTGGCTCAACCACTACTCAATATTTGCATAACCATTCTGCTCCCTCTCCTATTACATTTATACTTCCTTCCTTATTCCCCAAACTAACCCTGATAACTAACTGGAATTGGAACACTCTAGAATATGGCATAACAAACTAGAATGAATAACTTGGGGTCTATCACTACACTTACACATCTGGTCATAAATATACTTGTGGCATTTCTATATATTTAAAAGTGCATTATTGTTGGTATTTTCTTATCATACTCATTCAGGGTATGCATATATGTAATATATTTCCATAGATGAAGAAAACCTATCTCCAGTTCCTTCTATAGGTGCAAGTGGCTATATTAATTCTCAACTACATTTTCTTTGCAAATCGTTGCTTCTTGACTTGCAGGTTCCTTTGATACAATACTGTCAGCAACTTGCGTCAACTCTATCAAGTCACGATACATGCTTCACCCAAGCTGCAGATTCAATGTTTTTCATGCACGAGGGGTTACAACAAGCTCGTGCTCCTGTCTATGATGTTCCATCTGCGATTGAAGTTCTTCTTACTGGAACTTACCAGCGTTTGCCTAAATGTATAGAGGATGTGGGTACACAGGGCACATTGAATGCAGATCAGCAAAGTCCAGCTTTGAGGAAACTAGATTCACTTGTCAGGTCTAAGTTACTTGAAGTTTCACTTCCGAAAGAAATTACTGAAGTTAAGGTTTCTGATGGTGTTGCCTTGCTTCGTGTTGATGGTGAATTTAAGGTTCTCGTTACCCTTGGTTACCGAGGACATTTGTCAATGTGGAGGATATTGCATTTGGAGCTGCTTGTTGGTGAGAAAAGTGGGCTTGTAAGGCTGGAAGAGTCGCGACGGCGTGCTCTTGGAGATGATTTGGAACGCAGAATGGCTGCTTCAGAAAACACATTCATGACATTATATTCCATTCTTCATGATCTTTGTGTTGCCCTCATTATGGACACTGTTATAAGACAAGTGCAAGCACTTAGGCAAGGCAGATGGAAAGATGCAATTCGGTTTGAGCTGATATCTGATGGGAGTAGTGGACAGGGAGGGAATGCTACCTCGACCCAGATCACTCAGGATGGAGAAACTGATTCAGTTGGTTTACGAACTCCTGGATTAAAAATTATATACTGGTTGGATTTTGATAAAAACTCAGGTGCATCTGGCACAGGAACATGCCCATTCATGAAAATTGAACCTGGTCTAGATTTGCAGATTAAGTGCCTTCATAGCACATTTGTGATTGATCCTCTGACTGGCATGGAGGCTGAATTTTCCCTTAACCAAAGTTGCATTGATGTGGAAATGTTGTTACTTAGAGCTATTTACTGTAATAAATATACTCGTCTGCTTGAGATTTGTAAGGAACTGGAGAAGAATGACCAGATATGTCAAGCTCCTGGAGATGTCCAACTTCAGTTCTGTACAGGCGAATGTGATGCTGACAACGTAAAGGTTAGATTTGTAATATGCATGCAATTTTCGTTTCTGTTTTTCTGATCAATAAAATGTTATATAAACGATGCATTTAAGTGGATGGGCACATAAAATATATATTTATGCTACCCTTGATTTATTGATCATATGACTAGCTACATTTTGAGTTCATTATTGTTACTTTAAATGTTCAAATGGAGTTGTCAAAATTACTCAGAAGAAATAGAAGAGAATATGTCTAGCATAACTGTGGACGAACTGTCCAAATGATTTTTCGTAACCTATCAATTTTCTGATGAGTATATCACAAAGTGATTCAAGACCAGTTTAAGGATAATATTCTTCTCTGTGGTAGAAAAAGAATTGAGTATGGTTATCAACTAAAGATCACTTTGCAACTATGTATATTTATTTTCTGTAGATGTAGCCAACAATCGGAAAGAGAGGAGTTCACCAGCGAGGGTTCAGCAAGAATTTGGAAAATGGAAGGGAGAAGCTTCTTGGGTTGTAGAGACTAGCAGAAATTCAACTGGTCTCGAGCTGGTTTATAACTCAAATTATATTTCAACTGACTTTCTACTTGGTACAAATACATACAAGGATAGGACTTGGTGGGTTATACTGAACCTTGCAAACCTGTCAAAATTTGATCCCAAGCTTCAATACATGGCTTTGAATAGACTCCATTAGATCCTATTGCCCAATAGATAACCTTAACCTCAACTGGCTCACATGAGACCATAGTCACAACTATAATCCACTGTACAAGTGCAGAAATCTCTAAAATCCTCACTTAAAAAAACTAATCAAAATACCATTTCAAATCAAATTGAGAACTCCCAGAACATGGTAAACCGTCATGCATGCTTGCCTTTGGTCCAAAATGTTGTACCTGAGGTGGGATCAATGGTTTTGATCCTAGGTCTATTATCATGCCATCCCCTGGATAGCTGTGGAGGTTCTACAGGGAAAATCATAGACATGCTATGGATTAGTGGAGTCTACATTATGTGGAATTCCCAAAGCAACCTTAATTTTAATTTTGAGATCGTTTTCTTCTTTTCCTTTTCTTTTTGGCTCAGGCTTCTGCCACAAAGAGAGAATAGGCTGGGGGCCACTGTCATTAGCTGAATAGATAAAAAAGATGCTAAACTTTCATTTTAAGTATAACTGATCGAGAATTATGAGAACGTAGAACTCATGTTCTCTCTTTGCTAACCGTTTCTTTTTTGTATGATAATGCCATAATGGGCATGCCATTTTTGGGGAATCATCTGTATATTATTTAGTAAAGAGGGTTTCTAACAAGAAGTGGGGAGTCAAGTGCTATATTGTAATACGGCTGGTTTGAAAATAATGGTAATAATAGAATAAGGACCTTTAGATATCTTATTAGTATCTAACTGACGATGGTGTCGTGTAGCTCTAATAGCTTCAGTTTCCTGAAATGGGATTATAGAAAAACCTCTTTTAAGAGTTTTTTTTTCCTTCCTGTGCAGCAAATAGTAATGTAGTGGTTTTCCTTAACACTTGTTTTATATAACTCAAACCCTGGACCCGCTTTACAATTTATTAGTCAGACCCCTTGGCACACGATGCCCTGCTCCTAAACTGCAAAATTGTACTTTTTTCCGTGTTCATTTTCCTAGTAAGGTCTCATGCTGTAGTCATATTATAAGATATTTTCTAATGGAAAAAGAATGGCCAAACCGCATTCCTTTAAGGCCCTGTTTGTCTCCCATTATTCCAAAACATTGTTTGCTACAGTAAGATTCTCCACCACACATTCACCCAATAAAATATTCTACACACAAACCAATAAAGTTACTTAAATTTCAACCACACATTCTCCGAAAAATACTATTTATTGCTCTATTTCTTCTATAATAATGGGAGATAAACACATACTAAATTTTGTGAGCTGTAATGGGACGTCGCTGTTTGATGACTTAGTAATATGGGCTCTTCATTTTTTCTTGCTCTTGAGTATCTATGGAACTATGAGTATATTGGATTGTTTATTTTGCAAAGAGGCTAGCCAAATGATATTTAATTGTTTCTGATACGATATATCATAGCATCTAATTATAATAATAATGGGAGCACCTTTATCATGCTCTTCTTTTGACTTAAATGATCAATCAATTTTGAATATCGATTTGCAAACGATTACTAAATTTCACTAATTTGATGGCATCTTGTTTTCCTTTTTGGCAATCTGATTAATTTTTGGTGTGAGTGCATATTTTTACTTTTTCTGTTTCTGGAATGTGATTTTAATTTTCTTTTAACAGAAGGTTAACATATTCAGTTCCCAGAAGTACGAGGGCCAGGAAATTCTATGCGTGCGTGCCTATGGTTCATCATTTTTCACCCTTGGAATAAACATAAGGTTAATACATTTTCTGTTTTGTCTGTTAATGCTCCTTACTATCTAACGATTGGGGAATGTTTTAATCATATGCATCTGTAAACTGCTATTTGTTTGTTGACCATAATTTTATGTTCAGCTATGTGATCGTTGGTTTGCCTAGACATGTCTCTGGTGAGCTCTTTTTTGCGTCAACAGATGTTTGTGTACAGATAATTCGTTACATTTGGATGTAGACATGTAGGTCTGAGTGGGAGTGTGAAGCAACTTGAGCCGAGCTGATGAGTTGGACTTGATTGTTTGATGAGTTTTGAAATTGAGTTCAAGCTTGGATTATTGTTTT